AAGGACTATGATAAAAGAAATGAATGTGCTTGTTTCACAACTGCAATCAGATAGAGTTTTGTTGAATCATTTGATGATTGTCCTTAGTTGAAGTTCGCCTTTTTTGTATCAAAATAAAAAATGATAAATATCCAAGTTGTATTGATATAAGCTATTCAATAATCTTCCCTTCCAGTACAAAAAAGATTTCCTCAAAAATTATGAACTTTTTATTTCGCATATATCTCAGCATAGATAAATGACAAAAACTTGTTTTTTTTTAAAAGATGCACCATGAAAAGGGTTAGTGAGAGCGTGTCTCTGCTTCACCCACCCGTCCTCTGTATACATTGAGATCAGCGGTGATTTTATGATCATTGAATGTTATAAACATAGCTGATATTGGTCGAGCTTTTTCTTTGAAGTTGGTTCTGAACATGTTACACTGATAAGAGCGTAGATTTTTAGAGCTAAATCTACAGGTATTAAAGCTCTGCCTGTAAGAGCAATCTGACGGGATGCCATTTCCATAATAGTAGTTTTAACAAATGGTCAATTCTCATTACTTCTATCATCGACATGTCTTAATCTAAAAAACCCCAAAACAAAAACATTTATGCTATTGCTGCTGTGCACTTTCTGAAGAACATTCATGTACGCAACGAGAATAAAAACATTCTGCATCATAAGAGTCGATAGAAAATGAGTGCACACATTTTCTTATTGTTGTGCAAGCATGAATTCTATAAGCCACAGGATTCACAAAGCTTCAAGAAAGAAATATAACAAAGGAGGAAAAAGAAGCTCTTGAATCACGGAATCTAGATGAATTCTGGTGAACTCCTGTGAATTGGTCTCTAGAAACCGGTAGGATCCAAGGTCCGTTTTTCCGCTTCTACTGAATCCTAACATGAAAATGTTGGAAAACACTGACGATAGCACCACGAAGACAATTTCGGATAAGAATAGGTGGTGAATGATGCGTAGATGGGTAACGAGGTATCTCGTCTTCAGTCGTCAGTGATTATTCTTACCAATCATTTGGTTTTTTGCTTTTCAGAATAATAATTTTGGACGAATATTGAAAATCGGAAGAATATCAAAACTAAAAGAAGTCTTCATTCTACAGAAGGTAAATTAAATGTGAAAATAAATAAGTTCGTTATGCATCCGAAGAAAATCAAGATCATTTCAACATATTGTATTATGCTATGATATCTTTTGGCAAATAGCTAACAAAATATTCTCAATACCCTTATTTACCGCTAAAATTCTCGGAGAGAAATTAATTTTAATATTTGATCCGTTAGAATATGTTCTTATCGAACATCGAGTCTCAAGAAGATCGCCAAAAACTTAATTACGGAAGAATTTTTCACTGTGAACAGAAGAAGTTTTAGAAAAGCGTTACTGAGTCTTCCGTATGATGATACCTGATACATCAGTAATCGATGAAATGGATTTTTCTATCAGTACTTATTGGGATGCTTTATCTGCGTTTTCAACGATCAACTGAGTCTTCATGATGGGTATTAAAATGTTCGTGAAGAATATTTGAAATACCAAGATATGTAGGGTAGATGACGGCGAGTGGCTCGCTAAAGGTCAGGATGGAAAGGAGACTCTTACTCATACGCTTGTAGTATATTGCCAGAGCCTATGATTTATACCTGAATGGATAGACTTAGAAATAAGATAGTCAAGCAATGAGTTTTATGTTGCGGGTCTTATATTAAAAAATACTGCATTTCATTCCAAGCCGAATGACGTATTTTCAGCGGGATGAAGAAGCAATTAGTAGTGTACTTGAGTTTTTTGGATTGCGTGTGGGTGTGGGTGTTAGAATACAATATGCCGACATCCACAACCATATATACTGAATTGAAAAGATTGCGATGCTTCACGTGGCTATAATTCATTCGACGAGAATAATGAATTTAAAATATCTTTTAAAAAATTTTTAGAAAATCACTAAATACGTGGGGCACTACAAAAGTTTTTTCATATGCCTTTAGGATAAATATTCAGAGGAGGATTTTAATTTATTTTTTCAAAGTACTGTCCATTAGCATCAATGCACTTATGCATTCGAATAAACCAGTCTTCGAAACAGTTTTTAAAATCTTCTTTTGTGAGACTGTCAATGGCTTGTTCTAAAGCAGTTAGCATTTCATTGTCGTCGTTAAATCGAATTCCACGCAGCTGCTTCTTGAGTTTTGGAAATAAAAAGAAGTCGCAAGGACTTAAATCTGGAGAATATGGTGGATTTGGATATTGTTCTACGTGATTTTCCAGCAAAAATTCATTGGTAATCCATGCTCGATGCGGCCTTGCATTATCGTCATGAAAAATGAGACCTCGAAGACCTCGCGTTTCTCTTCGTTCAGATACCGCTGTGAAGACTTGTGGTAAGCATGTGTTGACATACCAGTTTGCGTTCACCGTAGCACCTGTTTCTAATGGAACAGATTTAATTAAACCAGATTTCATGAAAAAAATTGCCACCATTCTTTTCCCGGCACTTTTGTTTCGATGGACTTTGGTTGGATGTGGATCAGTTGTCGACATCCAAACTTTTGATTGTTCTTTTAGTTCGGGATCATAATGATAGAACCAAGCTTCATCACCTGTTATAATGTCAAATACACGACGGGATTGACCTTCTTCAAATCTCTTTAGTGAATGACCGCAAAATTGAACACGGAGTTGTTTTTGGTCGTCGGTTAGTGTATGTGGCACCCACCGAGCACAAACTTTTCTTAGATTTAAATAATCATGAATAATCGAATTAATTGCTGTGGAACTGATGCCCAATATGGTCTCAATTTGTTGATATGTTGAATGAGGATCACCTTCAATTATTGTCCGTACAGCATCAATGGTTTGTTGAGTAACAGATGTTGAAGGACGACCTGAGCGAGGAGCATCTTGAACACTGAATTTATTGCGTTGAAATTCACGAAAGCAGTTGAAGACTGTGTGGTCAGAAGGTGCTTGCTCCCCCCATGCCTGCACCAAACGGGCATGACTATCCTTGTATGTTAAACCAATTTTCCAGTCATACAAAATCATTGTGCGAAATTGTTCACGGGAGAGTTCAAAACTCATGTTGAAAATTATGTGGGGGTGACATGAAGAAAATGAAAAAATAGAACGATGGGTAATACGTGGAAGACTGGAATTTTGCACACAATCCTAAATATGTTTATCTCTTATGATAGGCTAGATGTCCTCAAATTACCATTTCTAGAAGAGCTGTATGAAAAAACTTTTGTAGTGCCCTACGTATTTTGTGAAACTGATATATATATATATATATATTTGATGAAGAATAGATAATTTGATTAAAAAAAGGAATTCTCTGTCGAACTATGAATCAAATGAAAACATATAATTAGAAAGAGTAATCGATGTTCTACCAAATAGTATAGAAATAAAGAACTTCTAATTTTTTCTTTGTAGAAATACAGCAAACTGGATAAAAACTAGTAAAAACAAGTGAATCATATTGTACTCATCGCTTGATCTCTTTTATCAATTATGTTTTTTTTCTTTTAGTAACAAGTAAGTAATTTTATCTCTTTTTCAGGTATCATCCGAGTGAGTTCTTATTTCTTTTTTCTATATAAAACCTTAATAGGCCTTCCGGATTGACCGTAAATTTAGGCTAGGAGCGATTAGAGACAGTTCAAGGTCGCATACGTGAATACAATAAAAACGAGGATATAAAGCAATCGAATCACATTTATTGAGAAGCAAGGAAAAAATAGCATTCGCATAATGTTTCAACCATTTGAGACAATGTTAAATTTTTGTACTCGATGATTTCCGTAATCGACAACATAGAGATTGCCGTATCGATCAAATGACAAACCATGGGGATAATAGAGTTGATTCGATTGTTCACCTTCACCGTTTCCACCAACAATGGCACTTCCTTGTGTAGCTCAATTGAGTCAACGCGTGATTCGATGATTTCAATAATCAGTTACATAGACAGTGCCTAATTGATGAACAACGACTCGTTAAGGAAACGACAATTGTGTAAGACCATTTCCTTCTCCTTGATCACCAGCCACGACAATGCTTTGTGTTGCACCTGCCATCCATTTCATCATATAATGATTTCAAGAGTTAGACACGTACTCTGATTGATCTCGATCGACAAATACGTACATTGGTCGATTGAGTTGATCGAGACGATTTCCACATCCATTGCCACCTGTAACTACTGTTCCTTTCGATTTTCCTCTTCGATATCGTCCCACTTCATCTTTTCCTATTTCAATGACATAGAGAGATCCATTCTCATTCATTGTCAAACCCACACAATCGATGTTGGATTAATTGTTTCTTCACTTATGTAAGGGAAGTTAGCGAAGTATTCGAGTTTTTTCTAGATCGATTCGCACAATCAACTGTGCCAACTACGGAATGTTGTGTGCCAGATAGAGTTCAATGAGCTCTATCGAATGGTATATTTACTTCTAAAAACGAAATCCACAACAAAGAAAAAAACCATAAAATATAATTTTTCATCATGGGGGAAAAAATGCAAAATAGATATTTTTCAGCAATATTCGATTCACGGCTTATGCGGGGTGTGGGGTGTGGGTGTGGGTGTGGGCGTGGGGTGTGTGGGTGTGGGTGCGGGTGTGCTGGTGGGTGTGGGTACAGCTATTCGATTATATAACAACACTCACACTACACGCCCCCCATACCCATACCCACACCCAACATCGATCCACACCCACACCCCACACCCACCAGCACACCCGCACCCGCACTCACACCCACACACCCCACGCCCACACCCACACCCACACCCACCCACACCCACTCACACCCACACCCACACCCACACACACCCACACTCACACCCACACCCACACACCCTACGATCAAGTAAGTAATAGAAACATGAAATGAAAATATAAATATAACGGTAACTATGTTACATTACAAATCGATGAGAATCACTTTTTAATTGTGAGAAAAAAATGACACAAGAGTTAAATAAATAGATAATACAGTAGAATTTAATGGCTCTGAAAATAAACGATCCAGATCTGGCAGAACTGAGACATTTTTTCATCATAATTGGAAAGCTGGTGTTCAAGTGTTTTATAAGATGAAGTCAGAGAGATCAGTCGACTCATGCATCATTGTTAATGTGTGCAAGTTTCTCATAACACAGCAAGATTTCTCTTACCGTAGCTATTTGATGGCGCATATCCAGTGATAGTTCTATCACAGAAGAGATAAGCTTAATTCGAAAATTTCTTTCTTATTTCTATAAAGAAGATTGCAGAATCTCGGCAACTGAAAGAATTCAATGAAGTTAAGTTGTCTGGAAACTGCAAAAAATTCATGAACTTGAGAAATCCTGTGAAAAAAGAAGAGAATCTAACAATTTCTGAAAGCCTAGAAAAAACAAGAATTTCCAAGAAATGCAGAAAATGGAAAGAAACAGGGGTGTAGAAGATTTGGAAGGAATTTAAAAAGTACAAACTATGATAAGATGCAAATGAAATCAAGAACTTGAGAACAGAGAGCCTTAGGTGTATAGATGAAGATGAACAAATGTGTCTTAAACACATGCACCATGAAACAAAAAAAAGAATTGCTGATTGCTGAGAAAACATCTTATTCTAAACAGTGTGAGAACAGACTTAGAATCGATATGCTTGATTAACTAAATGCTTAACGAAGGAAAAAGCCGATTGGTTGTGTGAAATCCTGTATTTTACGCTATCCATATCGAATCTCCAATTACACGTATTTCTTCATGTGCTTGATTTATTTGAATATTGTATTGATGTTCAATGAATCACTACTAAAGACTTTTTAGAGAACATATGACAATCAGAATTTTTTCATTAGCTATTTTAACGGTTTTTCTAAATGATTAATTTATTAATTTTCGATTAATCTTATGTTGCTCGACAATGACATATTTACTTTTTACCGAAAACTAAAAAGAAGCTCTTTTAGATCTTGTTTAGTCAATACTATGGGTTAAATACTTCAAAAAAGATGTTCGATGGCATTGAAGCATTTGACTTTGAGATTATTTTCATTCGGGTGAAGATGGATTTGATTTTATAGTCGTCAAGGAAACGAACCAAACTTCGACAATGACGACAACTAACTAACGTGAAGATTACTATTACCTAGCTTTTACTTATAGTAAATATTGAATCATTCATGATACTAGACTGTGTATCTTATTAATTTAATCTCTAGTTAGCTGCAGAGTAATATTACGTAGAGAGATACTTTGATTTGGTTAAAATGTAGTGTTTATCAAGATGAAAAAACATTAATACAATGCTTACATGGTTTTTGTGTAGTGGTTATGTTCGTAATCGTAGTTATGGTTGTAATTGCTGTTGAATTTGTAATTGCATCAGTTGTTGTAGTATTTATCGCTATTCATTATCATAGAAAATTTTATTTATACAAATGAGATATTTTAGATTTGATGTCTTGCATATCTAATCTTTCACACAAAACGTCTGCGTCCATTAGAGAATGAAAAATGAGTAAAATTTTTGATAATTCAATGCGATGTGATTCGATTGAATCAAATCAAAGCGAATTGAATTGAATTTTACTGAATATATCAAGACTATCCAATATTCTGCTGTTATATCAACAGCACGAATAAAATGAATTTCAAAGGATATTTGAAAGAAGATAATAATAGTGTAATGATAAATTATTACAAACCCTCTTTGTCATTCATCTTGCCATTAGATAGTCTGAATTCCTATATTCTCATTTTCCGAAAACATTCTTCTTGTAAGTGGTTTAAAGAGATAGCTAAGTCAATAATACTATAAGCTATGAAAAAACAATCTCCATACACATTTGAATTAGTAATGTCGATCGGAGTTATTTTGATAGAAGGCTACTTAGCAAAACTCGATATTCACTAGAATGAGTCTAGTATATAAAGGAAACTGTGAACGTAGATTGGTATGATATATTAAAATTGACTTGTTTTGTTGGAGATGCTAGCATATGATACGTCCTAAAGTATCTAATCGCATAGATTGTTCAAACACTCAATTGTTTTTCTGTTGGTTCCTCATATACCCTTCAAGGTTTACGACATATTGATGCACTGCTAAATATAAGTGCAACGGATTTTTCTTCAAATCAATGAATATAGTTCATAAGAACAGATGAAATCTGTTTGTTTCAATGATTATGTTTCGTTTTTATCTGTGTTGTACTTCAGCTACTTCTTTTTTTACAGGATCATTAATTCTTCCTTATCGCGTCTACGAAAAAATAAACTGCATACATGAGAATGTGTGAACGATGAGGAAATAACTTTAAAAGAATTCGTCTTTCATTCCAGCGTCTAGACCACTGTTCATTTTCTTACTTGGTATTGGTGGACAGAGTCTCTGATTAAAACTTGGCACTGGATAACAAACAGGGCGATTATGACAATGAGGATGATGAACACAAATATGGTTAGATTCGTAACAAGTGTTGTCTGAGTCTCCACATGTAACGAGCTTATAACAATCGATGAATACATCGACACAGATACCAATATCAATAGCGCCTGCTATATGATAGCATGCATACGCACTATTTGATGAACATCGATCATATTGAGACATTCCATCACAGAATTAGGATTTTACTTGTACTAATCACATAAACTAATAGTAGCACACGTAAAACGAAACATGAATCAAACCTGTAGGGCTGAAAACGAAGATCGTTCGCCATTAGATGAATAAGAAAAAAAAGAAGATTTTAGAATTACCTGAACAGAACGAATAAGAAACAACGAACTATTGTCGAAATCATTATTTGCGTTAAAATCAAACAAATTAGTGACGGTACTCATCTTTATATCTGCACGACGTGATCCTTTAATAAATAGAAGTTTGATATTGCTTCATTGCTTTCTTAAGCACTTAATTTCGTCAAGAAAATAATCTTTATAGAAGAAATAAGCATCTACAAAGCAATGTGAAATTGCTCCTGCAATATAATCACTCAATAGGCTGATGCCATCATTCAAAACATAAATATTATTATTGTCAATCATTGTCTCACTATGTAATGCTGACTTCGAGCGAGTTGAAAACCAAATTTTCTTTTTAATAATTATGCATTTATTATGAGTGCCTTAGAGAAGTTCGCAATTAAAGCTGGGTGTGGGTGTGGATGTGGGTATGAGTATGGATCAGAATACACTTCAATACTCACACCCACACACCCACACACCCACCTTCACCCCACACCCGCACCCACACCCACACCCACACCCAAACCCACCCACACCCCACACCCCACCCACACCCCACAGCCCCCCACACCCCATCAACACCCCACCCTGTTTTCGAACGAATGTATTTGCATCGGAAATCAGCAAACAACTTTTTTTTAAAATTTTTTAATGCGACGATTGCCTGTTTTAACTTTTGCGTTCTCCATCCGAAGGATGCGAGTACTCAGCTCGATGGTCAGACTTCAAATTATGGCATCCAGCACCATATTTGCATGGAGGTTTGGCAGGTTGATCATTGGCTTGGTGAGAATATTGAGCACAATGTTGAGAATCACCCATTTTTCGACATTTGTTACCCCATTTGCAAGGTGTTCGTTTATCTTCTTTGTATGGTACTCGAGCAGGTGAACTCGCTCGGGCTTCTACAAAGAAGGAATATAGAACAATACGTTATCCGAACATATGTCTCTCACCCTTTTTTCCCACCACTATTTTCGGATAGACGTTTTCGCCGTGGGAAAATTCAGATCGATGCTTTTTCGACTTGTCCTCACACTTCGCTTGATAGCGGCATGGTAAAAGAAAATCAGGTAGACCCGTGTGACGATATTCGGCTCGATGAACTGCATCGTCTAGTCGGTCGCATTTATTATCGTTCTTGCACATTGATACGCGATGAGGTTCGTGCGTAAAATGCGGTTCTTTGTCAGGACAAAGTTCAGAGAAACGACATGGATGGGAATATTTGGCATTATGATCTGCATGGCGTCGTACTGAATGCTGAAGGAGACAATTTACATTGTCCCGACACGGAGTCAAGTCAGGCTTTTCATCACCCATGATGAAGTTTTTCGCTCGATTCACGTATCCTGCAAGACCCTTTTTTGCATTAGGATCTTCATCTTTCTTGATTGCGGACGCCTCATGTCGGTCACCAGCTCCTACCGGTGCCTCACGACGATCATATGCTGCTGCCGATCCAGATGGGCCTTTCTCGTAGTTTTTGTCGATTGTCGGATGTAAACCAGTTTGTTTCTCGAAGCAGATCATCAAGTTTCGCACAGGTACTGTTCGAGCGCCCGAGCTTACATGAACAAAATTCAATTTTGTCAGATCGAGTTCAGACTTTTCGAATTTATGCGAAATGTTTTCGTGATTGTAGATTGCATTCGGACCAGCATGATAGAGTGTGACTGTTCCATCCGAACGATGAATTTCAAGGCAGAATGTCATCAAATCATCTGTATTACAGCCGAGATAGAAGCGATTCGATTTAGCAGCATGTGGACCTCTTTCTCTTCGAGCGTAATGTTGATACGGCGAGCAATTGTTCAAATAGGAATACTGTTCATTGTAAGAACTTTCGGTGAAATAGGGTTTGGGAGCTATGTAAGAAGTCAAACAACGAAGATTCGGTTGTTTTTCGCCTGATTCGATCGGTTCATTGGACAATGTCAACATCATGTCACCGCCGATCACCTGCCAATAGATAAAAAAGCGGTTTTCTGGCGGAGGATGCTTATTGGCGGAACAGTACTGATTGTAGGCTTGTGCAACCGTAAGAGGTAGAACATAGTGATCGGTAAAGTCCATCGAAGCTAATGTGATCGAAGTACCTCGAGCGAGTCTCGATGAGTGCTTATTAATACCGTCGAGAAATGTGACCTTCAATTCCTTTGCCACAAAATTTTGATAATCCTCTCGAGACTTCGTTGAGGGTTTTGGACCACGTGGTCCCCCTGGTTGATTAGCTTCTCCGTCGTGCTTTACTCGAGTGATACGATGCTTGAAGTTAGCATTAATGGCTCGACGCGAAGCATCACTGAGGGCATCGTATAAATTCTGCGGAATATAGATATGATCTATGTAATTCAAGGGAATAAGTTGAGGCAAATGACCTTCAATTGTAGCGTGGGAATCGACGCTGAACCAACGCTCAAAGATCTTATCGAGATCCATATCCATACTTTTTTTCTTCAATCCCATGCTGGTAAAAGCTATTAACTCAAGAGCGGCAGTATAGTCATAGCCTGGAATTGATGCATTCAGTTTTGAAGCATTATACAACTTGACTCGTTCTTCATGCACACCAGGATCAGCACCAAGCCATGGTCGTGAAGTGAACGCATTTCCGCTAATAAACGATGTTGCTGCTTGAATGGTAAAATTGGCATCTGGGTGGTGGAGAATTTCACGCTTGAAAACAATGAATACATCACCGTAGTAATGTCCCAAATGAGGTCCAAGGATGCTGAAAACAGTTTTGTCCGTGCCAAGATCTTTATCTTTGCCAAAACCAATACCACATGGATTCATATGCAAGTTCATCGAAGCCTCGGCGATCTCCATAGTTTTAGCTTTTATAGCTTCCATCTCGTTCGGTTTTAAATTATTTGCAAGATATGCTTCGAGCTTCGGTATGTCCTGCGAATTATAATCAGGAGTTGCTTTCAGCGGTGCTAGACTTCCTGTTCCTCCAGTAGATGGAGGTAATTTCGAATCCAAAAATCCTTTGGTCTCGAAGTAACGAGTGACCAAAGCAGTGATGTAATCTTTTGCTTTTCCAGCGGTAATTTTCTCCTGTAATATTCCGATGCGCCTTATTCGACTGTGTTGCAGAACTGAATTAGCAACGAATTTTGGATATTTCAAATTTTCCATATACTCTCGACTCATGACATGCCCATGCAAAAGAATCGACTCGAATATCATTGGACTGCATCGGTGAACAGGTTGAACCGTTCGTATATAATCGATGACTTCACGTGGAACACGTCCTGATGGCAGTGGTTTCCATTTATTCTTTTCGACATAGGCAGTGACATTGTCAATGATTCGCTTTTGATTCTGAACAAAATCTGTTTTCTTATTCAAATTAAAGTAGAGCAAAATTCCACTGAGCTCGAATTTGGTCGGATGCCGAAACTTGGCTATGTGATGAGGTTTCTTACGATCGTAGCATTCATCTGCATGTTTACACAATTGGCGTATGTCGGCAATGTTGGGATGTGTAAATAAATTGAGATGATCCTCATCGTTTAGATTTGTGCATTTTTCACTGTCCGAACAGAGATGGCGAGCGATATGAATTGACTTTTCTCGATGTAGCTCTCTGTGATCGGTACAATTACGACCAAGTCGACAGACATGAGCATACTCAAGACAGTGATGTTGAGTGTCCGGCGATAGATCCCGATTATTTGTAGTCTCCATTAAATCAAAGTAAGTTTCACAGTGGAACGGAGTCCAAGGACATGCTTTAGGAAACGGATGTTCAAATTGTTCTACATGTTTTTTGTCATGAAAGCCAGCACAATGGTTCCCGTGTGGACAATACAATACACAATGACGAAATTCGTTGCAGTGGGGTAGAGCATGCTTTTGAAAACTGATACACTTGCGACTCTGAGGACATAGAGGTAAATGACGATATCGTTTCAAATGCTCGTCCTTCATATCACTACAAGCGCTTCCATTGGAGCAGTAGGCTGGATGCTCATATTCTTCTGAATGCCGTTCGTCATCAATCATCCTGCATATACCACCGTACTGGCATCGATTACGATGAATGAACGAGCTAATATGAACAGGTTCGTGTGTAAACTCACATTTACCATTGATAGCTGCAAAGGAACAGAGTGGTGGATGAGCGAATTCTTGAACATGCTTCTGATTATTGATCTCGCTGCATTTAGCACCATAATGGCACGGTATCTTATCCATAATGCAAATATTACTGACAGATGAGTCATTCGATATGAATCGATAAGGACCAAACATCGTATGACGGATACTTTTTGGTGGCAATGGGGTTGCTATCATTCCGTCCAGAATATCTTTGAACGGTTTGAAATTACCTTCCGGATTCAAATGGTTACCTGTATTATGATCATCAACAATGGCAAAAACAATGGTCTTGAAAAAACCAGCATATTGATGAATAACTGAATTGAACAACTGCGCAACATGAGCTGGTGGATTTTTGAATGCACCGCATCCGAGAGCCGACAATACAAGACTGTCATGTTTGTGATGGTAAGCAATAGCAAATACATTTTCAATCTTCTTCCGTGTTCCAGTAGCATATTTTGGGGCCAAATGATTACCTTCTAATTTTGGATCTCGATAGGCTGCCATGGCCAACGAGCAGACCCCTTCCAGTGGTTTTTCCATAAAAGCATAGCCTGTCTTTTCGGGTCTGCGAAAAACAGTCAAGCCCGATGTGTAGATCGCACCGAATTCATGCATTGAATACATGGTGGCTGGATCGATGAGTCGTTCGAGTTTACCCGACGACGAACATTGAAAACGTTCACTACGCTCCGGTAACCATTGATCGAGACCAATGTCAAGACTTCGGAAATAGTCCGATCGCCGAAAAAGATTTTCTTCCTGTGCACCATCTCCCTTTCGATATCCACCACCAGGAGAATGAGCATTGGCCATATTGAGAAGAAGGGGTTGGTTGCCATTTTGAACTAGACGCTCGTAAGCGAGGAGACAATCCTCATTGACAACATCGACACGCGTGTTGTTATAGGGTGCTTTTGTGATAGGTAACTTATCAATGACTTGTAACTTCGATCGTTGATCGTAGACTATCGTTTTCATGGACTTGCTGATGTTCAACTTCACTTTCTGATCATCAATTGTGTAACTCTGCTGGCGCACTATCGCTAAGGTGTTTAGCATCACTGTCACTCGTAGTTGATGTCGAATTTTATCGTTCGGTGATCCTCGCCGTTCGAGATCTGGTTTATCAACAGCTGCAGCAGCATGATTTGGATTATCTACTCGCTGAAATTGTTTGATCCATATCTGTGCATTCCACTTGTAAGAAAAAATCGGATGTTTCGGATCGGCAACAAATTGCATAATATCTGGTTGATACTGCAGCATATCTGTTTCATACCAACTGTCTTCATCGATGAAATCAGCATCTTGATCTAGCGAAGATAGATATGCCTCAACCCGAAGGCAAAGTTTATCGTCGATGCGAAAGGCACCAGATGTAACTTGTTCGTTCAATGTTTCTTTGTCGGATAATTCCAGAACAAGACTCTCACCTTGCAGTTTATGATGAAGTACTTTGCCCGCCAGCTTTGGATGATGGATAATTTTGTTCAAAGCTGACGAATCAGGAATAGGAAACAATCGAATACGACAGATGAGTTCTTGCTTCTTCGTAATGATTTTATTGTCAATTGTAACAAAACTATGCATCGACCAAAGACGTGCCATGCCAGTGACTAAAACACAAGCAATGCCAGCTTTTTTGTGTAACTGGATGTAAATAGATGACAATGCAATCTTCGATTTTCCAATAGCTGTACAAATGGCTTGATAGCATTGATCTTCGGTTATCGATCGTGGGAGATTCTCGAGAAAACTACAATCAGCATGAATGTAGACTCGAGCAAGCAGATTTTTGATTACGATATCTTTATTATGCATCATTTGAAGGATTTCATCGAATGATGTTGATAGGATTCGATATATGTTAGGAAATTGAGCGCCTAGTTTTTCACATCTCTGCGGTGCTTTCGTTTTGTAAATTTCGCTCCAACGACGGCTGACCTCATCGACTGTTGGCATAGAAATCTCTTTCTTATCTTTGTCCGTATGCACTACAAGATATGAGGTTAGTTCGAGCTGACCTACAAACGAAATAGAAGTCTTGCCAGCTTCTGGATCCAATACGATGCTTCGTAGACTATTGATAAAATAGTCTCTTTCTTCGCCATTCTCGACGTAAATCAAAGCAATGCCGACTTGCGAATAGCATACGACTTTACCTACTTCTTTTTCTCGAATTTCTTTTAAACGATGGCGAATTCGGTGTTCTAATTGATCATTAGAATCGACATCCACTGGTAGATCAGGGATGTACACAATTGCATCATACTGTGCTGAGCTCGGCTTTGAAATCGTTTTTCGGGAACTTTTTTTTGGAACAGAACTGTATAAGGCAGCAGCAAGAGGGGCTTGTTCATCATCGGAGTCCAATGTCGATGAAGAAGTGGTTTGTCGTGGTTGCTCGTGTTTATAAACCGTATCTTTTGATCCTTCCCTGTTGATGACATCTCCCGTTGGATAGACACCATTGCTAGTATGGTTGCGATCACAGTACTGATCGTCTATATTGCTTTGGCTTGTTGAAGATTTTTCACGGCTTGACCGAGGTTCATCTAAAAATGGAATAGAAGACTAATAATTGAACGAATAGTTTCCTCCGTAGTGTCAAACTTGAAACTTGAATTCAATTGAGTTTTCAGGTTTTAAGTGAGTTTTCAATTTTCAATTTTCAATTTTCGATTTTCAAGTTTCAAGTTTCAACTTTCAAGTTGCTGGACTACTAGGATTTTTATTTAGAACAATAAAACACTCTTTAAAAATAATGCATATGTTAATTGAAATACATGAAAATTTTATATGACTACAAGACTTGTTGCACGTTACTAGTTATTTGCTTCCTGTAAATTTATCATCACATTCTGGAGGTAAAATACGACCGTTGAATAATTTATCCATTGATCCAAATATAATCTTTGCGCTTAGTTTATCGTTCTGCACTTAATGTGCGCATATACTTGAGTTTATTTTTAACCGCTCATCCAGCATATGGTTTGACTGAACATATTAACATTGGCTTATGATTGCGAAAAAAAAATCTGAAGAAAACTGTTTTATCTTTACAATATTCTTTTTTTGGATAAAATGTGTTTATAACTTAACAAAATAACCATAACTGGAAGAAAATCAAGCTGATTGACACAAAAAGTTCCTCATCATAAATACATCTATGTTTCTCTTCATTACTAATCAAGATATCATTCGAAAAAATTACACCAGTACTAAAAATTCATATAGCTACCTTCAGTATGACTTTATTCCCTTTCTCCTTATAAACAAATTCTGTCAAGCATTACAACCGATAAAACACACAATGTGGAGACACATTTATTTTTATTTATTCTCTGTATGACACCGTCTTTTCTCTGATTTTCCTACTGCAAATTAAGAATTATATGCCCATACAAGGTTTTCACTATATTATACCTTCTTTTCGTTTTTAAGAATGAGCGATTCATGCATTTTCATTTTATAAAATACATGAAACAGTTATTTATCTGTATGTGAAAAGCATTATAGTTTTCTTGAACTTTATTTTATACGTATATTTTTCGTATCTATATGTCAGCGTCCAAACTGAAATTACCTTCAATCGCAAATTGGCCTACCAGAATGTCGGATCCGAGATTGGACGCATCAAATCTTGGATAGACACAATTCTTCCTTCGCAGCCAATCCTTTTCTGACCACTCTTTTCGCGGCCTCCACATCAGCTGCGACGAGACGTGTGTCCTTGTGTGGCCACTCCTTTCGCGATCAGTTCCGTCGCCACCAGTCCCTTTTGCGACCAGTTATTTCGCGGCATCCACAGCAGATGCGATGTGATGTGTGTCGTCGTATGGCCACTCCTTTCGCAATTAGTCCCTTTGCGGTACCCACAGCAGCTGCGATGTAGTAACTTGAAAGTTGAAAAGTGAAACTTGAAAACTCAATTGAATTCAAGTTTCAAGTTTTACATATATGAGTTTCCTAGGTGTGCACATGCTTAGATCGCTCAGAACTTTTTCTCATAAAATAAACATTATTGTCTCTGATGATGAGCTGCGTAGGTAATATACTGCTATCACCGATAGGAGTGGGCTTCTCGGATAAGGAAGAAGAAAGAATTTAGATTCTGGATTCGAAATTAAAAACATCACAAAAAATGCTTTTCAATTCACGTAGGTGAAGTTAGCCTCATATTCGAGTAAATACAGCCGATATTCGGCCTCAAAGTTGCCTCAGCTGCCCCAGACCGCTCCACAGTAGAACTCGATGAGCTCTATCGATTGATAACGTTGAATTTTCCATAGCTCGAACTATTTATGAAAAAATCCCAAAATACTAATTTTTTCCTATGCAAATCTTATCATATGGTTAGTAAATGCAGCCAATATTCGCCCCCAAAGCTGCCACAGCTGTCTTAGGCAGCGCCAGAATAGAACTCAATGAGCTCTATCGGTTGGTAACGTTGGATTTTCCATAGCTCGAACCATTCGTGAAAAAATCCCAAATGGTAAGATTCGCATAGTGAAAAATTAGTATTTTGGGATTTTTTCACGGATGGTTCGAGCTATGGAAAATCCAACGTTACCAACCGATAGAGCTCATTGAGTTCTATTCTGGCGCTGCCTAAGACAGCTGTGGCAGCTTTGGGGGCGAATATTGGCTGCATTTACTAACCATATGATAAGATTTGCATAGGAAAAAATTAGTATTTTGGGATTTTTTCACAAATAGTTCGAGCTATGAAAAATTCAACGTTATCAATCGATAGAGCTCATCGAGTTCGACTGTGGAGCTGTCTGGGGCAGCTTTGGGGCCGAATATTGACTGAATTTACTAACCATATGATAAGATTTGCATAGGAAATAATTAGTATTTTGGGATTTTTTCACGAATGGTTCGAGCTATGGAAAATTCGACGTTATCAATCAATAGAGCTCATCGAGTTCTATTCTGGCGCTGCCTGGGGCAGCTTTGGGGCTGAATATCGGCTGGATTTACTCGAATATGTGTCTAACTTCACCTACGTTTTCAATTCTAATAAATCAAAATAGAATTTCGTCAAACGCTGTTTCAGATATAAGGAATTCGAACTTACCATATGCTCCTATGTTTTTATTCTCGTAGGCATAATCGATTTCGTCCTCATCTTTACTAGGTGCTGAATACAATCTGTCGTCTGAGAACGCTTCCTCTCGAATGTTGAATATAGCATGTTGTAGTTCGCCACAATGTTCGCATCTTTTCGTCGATTTGTTATTTTTCATCGAACAGTTCTCACAAGTCCAATCATCTTCATTTTTATAGCTGTCATCAGTGTGTTTCATGGAAACCGCTGCAGCATTGGCACTTCCTTCTCTGTCGTGCTAAATGACAAAAACAAGAATACAACCTTGTCACTACCCGGGAAGCTGAAGCCTGTCTGAAGAACCTCTGGAATCATTCACATACCAAGATTAGACTGAAAGAGCTGATTTCTAAACTATATAACCTGTGATAAAGATAAACACAGGCTCAAGAACGAGTTCAAAGCTATGTTAGAGGGCAGAAACAGGTAAAACTCAAAGGTAACCTCTCTCTAGTTTCATATTATCGACAAAAAACGGTTGTTAAACGTTCTTGCTGCTGTAACAGAAAATATGAGTGGCTCATCAGGCTTCATTTGCACCACTCCAAAAGAACACTGATTAGTTAAATGGTATCTAAGGTGACTAATTGAGACTTGAACTATTGCAATTATGCACATTAGAAGACACAAGTTGCGGTAAACTTACATAGTCTTTCGATTGAGCTCGATATTTTTTTAGTGCCTCGGCCAAAGCATTTGT